CCCCAAAACCCCAAAACCCCAAAACCCCTCTCAAATATTATATTGCTGAAATAAAATGCAGTGTTTTAACCAAGGGATAGGTTCACCTGGATATCCAACATAGGTTGTTCAGAACTATAGCTACGCTCGATACAAGAATCCTTCCTCTATTCGTCACTACAAACAATTCCCTTTACGGCCAAAGAACATCGTAAAGCTAGAATCTGAGTCCCAAGAACTTGCCTTATTGGTGCTTAAACAAATTTCCTGACCTTTCTAATCTGAGCTTGCCTGATTCGTGATTTTAAGTACTAGAATTAGTAAGCCGCTTTATTCCTGAAATAAGGGAGACTTTTCATTAGTGAAGAAGGAGCCATTGGATTGGGGGTTATGGCCAATTTTACCAAGAAAAACGACCTCTTTCCTTCAAGATATGGCAGAGGTAGAGGCATAAAGAACACAGATTATGGCATTGTTCAGATTTCCAAGAATGACGATATCCCTAAAGACTGGAAACATGGCTCCCTTATGCGTACTTCTTCAAAATACAGGGTTAATTATTTGGATAACCAAACCTCTCTTTTCCCAGAGATTAGGAAAGATCAATCTGATGGTTTTTCAGCAGGAAGAACTCATGATTATAGAATGAATACTACTGCTTTGAATACCCCGAAGATAAGCATTTCAAGTCCAATTTCTCCTGTGAATTCAACTAAAGGAATGGGGCTTCAGAAGGGTTACTACAATAATTATCTCAGTACCGCGAAATCATATGAAAAAGTATTAGAAATTATCAAGTAACTTATAGAAAAAGGTAGCATTGAAAATTCTAGGCACGAGGACAAAAGTAGGCCCCAACCATAGTATCCTAGACTCAGGAAAACCAAATTACAGTGTACTAAGAAGCCCTGTACAGTTTAGAAACATGATTGCTGAACCAATAGAAGACCATAAGTACAATCCTTACCTTAGCAGCCATTATAGATCACCTCTTACTAATGTAAATGGGTATTTACTTCAATAAGTCACATATTCTTTGGGGTTTTGGGGTTTTGGGGTTTTGGGGTTTTGGGG